GCGTGCGTGCGTGCGTGCGTGCGCGCGTGCGTGCGCGCGTGCGTGCGCGCGTGCGCGCGTGCGTGCGCGCGTGCGCGCGTGCGTGGGGGGAGGGGTGTTGGAGGGGGTCCGGGTAGTAACAATATAGGAATCGGAATATGCAGTCGGATGCCTGGGGGGGGGCCTCCAGAGGTCGCAGGAGGCTTAGGCTTAGGCTTAGGCTTAGGCCTAGGCTTAGGCTTAGGCTTAGCGCGTCTGCTCCTGCAAAGCAGCGCCGCGCGGCAAACGCGCCGCGGTGCGATAACCCTCAGAATGAGAAGAGATCAGCGCGCACTACCCTCAGATCGCAACTAACTTCTCGAAGGCGCGTCCGCCAGGCCGCCTTGCTGCGAGCTGCGGCCTGCCAATCGCCGCGTTGGAAGAGCTCGTCCACGCGGTGCTCCCACCTCCAGACGCGGGCCTTGCGTCCGTGCGTCTGGTTGTCCTTGTTTTGCTGGGCCCTGCCCCCGATCCATTCGTAGTTTCTGCGCTCCAAAGCCCCATGCGCCACCCGGTCGCGGTCGTAGTCGCCCAGGCGCGCAACGTGACCGGCCCGTGTGAAAACGTGCTCGAAGTAGACTTCGCCCCAGTCGCCGGAATCCTATTCTCCCTTCGCTCGCTCTATGTTCTGCCCGATTCGCCGCGCGAGCGCTCCGGCCGTCTCCGCCGCTTCGGGGGCGGCATCATCTTCCTGAGCGTCGCTTGCCGTGGCCCCCGCAGTGTCGAGGTCTGCTTGACAATCGGGCCCCAGCTCCCACTGCGCTGGAAGAGCGACGTGGACACGAGAGAACGCATGAGCTTCATGGGCGCTCGGATGGGCGCCTCACGGCAGCAGAATACATGTTTGTACTTGTAAAAGGTCCCCCATGCCTTGGAGACTCTGTCCCGCGGTTTCGAGCACCTCGCAGCCCTCGTTCCGCGCTGCCCGCCGCAACCTCGCACATTGCACGTTCACATGGCCGGGCGCAGTGTCGTCCTGCGTCGAACGCCAAGTGGTTTCGCCCAGCGGCGCAGCCCGGCCTGCCTCGGCAAGGATGTCCAACCATGCCTGCGCCATCTCGCCCAACTGCTTGCGGCTCGATGCGAACCGCCAGAAGTTACCCGCAAACAACATAAATTACACGCGAAACCCGACGTCCAAATGGCACCCCCAGCCCCTGCTGTCAGCCAGTCCGCAACAATTTGCGGCCGGGATGTCCAGAGCAACGTCGAAGAGGAACGGGGCTGCTGGGCCCCCCTGAAGCAGCGACCGGATCTTTCTGATTGGCTTTGAAACGATGTCTTCGCTTAGGCTGAACACGGACCCGCATTTGCCCAACTCGCGGAGCCATGCTGCGGGCAAGATGTTCGGCACCACGTTCGTGTCCAAACCGGCCGGAGCTGCAGAGCGGCGCGCGTAGTCGTGCGCCTTCAACCGCCCCCCGTCCAACGCCAACAGATGACGGTCCCATTCGATGGCCTTTTCCTCCCGACTCCTGAGAATGCACGCATCTTCGCGCGCCTGGCGGTACTTTCTGAAAGCGAACTGCGGAGCGTCGGGGCGATCAATGGCGGTCTCGGCGAGAGCCAACAGCATGCGGGAGCGCCATTTGCACGCGGTGAGCAGATGTGCGATAGGCCGGAAGTCCCGCGCCCTGCGCTGGAACCCCTTCCCCCGAAGCAGCCTGACGACGCGCTCGCCCCTAGCCTCGTCGCCGCCGCAACTCCCCGCGTTGAGCACGCTGTCCCGGAGTAGTTGCGCTAACAGTGCCATGGCGTCTTCATCCCAATCCATCAACACCTCCGCGACCAAGTGATCCTTGGCGCACGTCTTCTCCTGGCCCATCTGCGTCAACTCTGGTCGCGCCAAGGCGCCAGACAGCAAGGGGAGAACCCGCGGGCCCCCAAGCCCCCAGGAAGCATTGATGCAAGGTGGCACTGGCTCCGGGCCCCAGCTGAAACTTCGAAGAGGAGCTCGCTGTAGAAGATATGCTAGCATCTGCGACATGCGTCAATCGCGCTCACCTTCTGCGACTGTCCTCCCGCGACGTCGGGGCAAAGACACGGAGTGCTGAAACCAGAGTGCCTCGCACTTGACGCCGGGCTGCCGAAACCGCTCGCGATCTGCTCGCACTCCAGAGCCCGCGTCCTTCGACTGAGTCGCCGGTGGACACGGCATATCGCCCATGATAAACGTCGACGGTGCTGAAAATATTATGATTAGCTGCGCTGTTTCGCCAGGGATCTTGGGAATGCCGCGCCCGGGTCCAACCCTGGCAAACGCGCCCTGCTCCGCTTCGGCCTGCCGCCGCACTTATTCGCCACGTTGACTGCGATAGAAGCGAAGCCAGTTAGATCGGGCGGGCACTGAAACCCCGGCACGACCGCCTCTCCCGTCGCGCTGCACACGGACGCGTCTTCTCTCCGCGGAGAGATACCACGCGGTCGGGCCCGCCACAAGTCACGTTTAGATCCATCGCCACCATGGCGTGCTGCTGGGTCGGCGCACTCGTTCCCGCAGTTCCCAGTGTGACCCTTCGCCCATCCCATCTTCGCTGGCTGCTGCTGCCGTGCTTGCCCCCACAAGTGCTTTGCCAACTCAACCATTGTAGCGTTCTTTCGGGTTGAACTTGTCAGCGGGGGCTCCGATCGCGCATCTCGAACCGCTGCGGATTGCAATTAACTCGCCATTGCTTGTCCGCGGCAACCCAGAGACGGGGCAACCAGCCAGCGCCTGTTATAGACATTCAATCATCGCCGTGAGCTCTGCTGCATTGTCGGCGCAGTTTGCGGCCCCCGCGAAGCGAGCGTTCTCTGAATTCGCCTTCGCGGGGCCCAATGCAGCAAGGATAACGCTCTCCTAGAACATGGGTTCTGGGCCGCGGCCGAAAGCGACGAAGCCCCATCCTTCTGCGACTGTCCGCCGCCGCCGGACAGAGCGCGAACCATCGGCGCGCGCGCACTGCCTGGCCGGCCTCGCTATCCTCCACCCTGGGGGGTTGCAGTCTCAAGCGTTCGCGTACATGAGAGTTGTAGTTCTCATCCTCGGTGGTCCAACCAATAGATTTGGCGCGCAAGACCTCGGGGTCGCGGGCGTGCTTGCGACCGCCAGGATCACGCGCGCAAATGGAAGTCATTGGCGCTCTGTGGTCCGAGACCGCCCCTCCGACGGATGCGTTTTGCATTGGCCGTGACTCCTCTCAGGAAGATCCGAGCACGTGTAATCGATCTGCTTGGGCTCCTTCTTGCAGTAGTAGTCGGACGCGTACGCTCCTTCGGGATCGTACTCCAACGCGTTCAGTGCACGGGCGTTGGCTGATAGACAAAATCTCAGAGAACAAACTCACCTTCGGCTTGCCTGCCAAGCTGCTTCAGCAAAGTCACCCAGTATATGTCGATCATCGGGCCCATTCGGTCCCAGCGCGTCCTGGGCGTCCACTCCTATCATTGCGCGTCGTCCTGAGGGTAAAGGGGCGCACAAAAACTCGAGGTCATCGGGAGCAGAACCGTAATTATCGATCTTGGGTCGTGGAGGCAAATGAGAGTTCACCACACGAAAGTTCCACCCTGGCCAATCCAAATCCAAATAACAAAATCTTCCCAAATATTGAAAAAGAATCCAGGCAGATCAAATGCGCAAGCCGGGCGCGCACGACGATTCCCGCGCGTCGCTGCCCCAATGTTGGAGGCTGTGCAAACGCAACGTGGCCGTCGGAAGCTTGCGTAAATTCATTGGTAGTGAAACTGAACACCTGGAGTTATTGGTAGTGAAACTGAACTCCTGGAGTTAGAGAACATCCCAACGTAGCTCCGACTCCAATTGCTGGCAAAAGTCATCCCCATCACTGCCCGCTATCCCCGCGACATTCCACGACAGAATGTGAAACTTCACCTCCTCCTCGCCGGATCCACGCCGGCGTCGCTCGTTGATCGCCTGGAGGTTCGCCCCGACACCGACAGCTAACATCGAGGAGGCCGCAGTGTCCGCGACGCGCAAAGTGAGGGAGTCCCAGTTGTGGTCGTAGAGGCAGAAGATGTTCCCCGCGGCCGGCTCGTACCAGACGATTCCCTTGTCCCGGTCGCCATCGATGGTTGTTTTGCTCCTCTCCGGGTCCACGCCCATCTTCTCCACCACGTGGTTCCTGAGGAGGTTCACCGCCTTGGACGCGCGCCTCGGAACACTCCTCTCTTCCGTCGTCTTGTCGATCCAATGGGACAGGCGCTTCCCGTTGAGCTCGAAGTGCTGCCCCTTGCACTTCTTCAGGAAATTCCACATGCCATCGGACGTAAGGAAATCTATGAAACCGACCTGGGATTGCTTGCCGGATGCCCAAACCTTCGGGGGCGGGTCGCACTCCTTCACGATGTCCTTCAACTTTCAGCTTGTTCTTGACCTCGGCCTTCTTCGCATTCTCCCCGAAACCCCCCACGATCACCTTGGCGCGCTTGTTCCGAAGGACGAAGACGCCATTTGACTTACCTCCAACCCTCTGGCCAGACTCGAGGGCCCGCAACCGGACCTCGTGATCATTGATACGAAAGTGAGCCTGTTGAACCGATGCTGAGGCAGCCTTCGTCTTAACCTCGACGGCCTTCACCTAGCCTGTGCTATTGTTGATTTTGTTCTCGACGCTCTCGATCTTCTGGTTGGTGTTGGCGTTGATCGCCTTGATGATGGCCTGCGCTTCTTTGCCCAGCCCTCTCGTGCCTCCAGCTGCGTCGTCGTCACGGCCCTTGCTCCTCGAACGGCTGCTGCATTTGCACCCTCCCTGCGGGAGATTGCCGCCGCAGTCCGAGCAGAACGCCATTGCAGGCGCCTCGAAATCGGTCGGGCCCGGAATCGCTCGAATCGGTCGACAGTCGAACATGCGGGAGCCCTTGAGCCCCTTCAGCCCCTGCCTTGAGCCAAAATGGCCTGGGGAGGCATCCCGTGAGGCAACATCAGACAAAGGCTGGACTCGATCGCCAAACCGAGAGGAGAGGGGGGGGGGAGGAGGAGGGTCCAGCACCGCGAACAGCTCCCCGTGCTTGGCGAGGAACCCCGCGAGGTCGCCGAAGGCGCCCTTGACCCCAGCCAGCCCCGGGGTCTCCAGCAGGTCTGCGACGGTCATGTGGCTCCCGCCCTCGGCCAGCGCCGTGGCGACTAGGTGTAACAGCAGCTCCGGCGACGGCGGCGCGATCTCCATGCCCGACATCCCCATCATGTGGGACCGGAGCTGGAGCAGGGCCTGGGGGGGCAGTGGCATGTCGACACCCTGCTTTGCTCCTCCTCCTCCTCCTGCTCCTTTTCCTCCTCTTCCTCCTCATGCCTTTTCTCTGACTCCTCCTTCCCTTCCCCTCCTTCTTTGTGTCGTCGTCCTCCTCCTCCTCCTCCTCCTGCTCCTCCTCCTCCTCCTCCTCCTCCTCCGCCTCCTCCCCATCTCATTGCCCCGCTCCCGCACCTCCTGCTCCTCCGCCCACTGGCGCACTGCACAATTGCTCGAAATGAATACTATACTGCACAATTACTCGAAATTATACTACAATGCTCTCCTCTAGCACCCGACTAAGTTCTGGCATGTCCTGCCCTTTTCTCTTAAGCTTTTTACGCACAATATTCCCAACAATGATGTGTACTTTGTTCCGAACTTCTGGGACGCACAGAGGCATCCTAATACTATATATGTCCTTCTTGGAGGCGCGCGTCCGATTCGAACATATAGTACACCCATCTTGTAGCATATCGTTTCCCGAGCGGTGTGGCCAGAAAGCGCCCGCCGCGACGCATAGACTATAAGATTTCTCGGTGCGCGCGTCGCCCCTGGGGGGGCGACGCACTCATTCCCCAATCAGTGCCTGCTCTGAAAGGGTCCTAATGGATATTGAAAAATTTGGCGAAAATTCCGGGCCGATTTCGGTAGACGGCCCGGTTCCCGGGTTCCCAATTCCGGGTTCCCGGGTTCCCTGTTCCAAGTTCCGGGCCGATTTCGGCGGGCGTTCCCAGGTTCCCGGGTTCCTGGTCGATCTTCTTATCGATCAGTCTCGCCATCGATCTCATTACCCACTTCTCTATCGATCTCACTCACTATCGATCTCACAATCGATCTCTCTTTTGATCTCACAATCGATCTCACTATCGGTCTCAAGATCGATCTCATTGAATCGACTTCAGTATCGGTCTCATGGTCGACCTTTCAATCTTCCTCACTATCGGTCACACCATCGATCTCAATATCCATACCACTAATTTTCAAACCATCCACTGATTGGGTTTTTTCTTAGTACGTTGGGCGACGTCGAACTTAAGCTTTGCTTTAGCCGTTCTCAGTTGTTGGAGAAGCCGCTAGGTGCTGGACCCAGTCTCGTCGGCGTTCCCCAGGGTTCCTCCGTCTTGTTTCCTTACAAGTGGGTTCCCTGAGGGTCCCCTGTCTCGTTTCTTTACGTTGGCGTTCCTCGGGGTTTCCTGGGTTCCTTTGGACTTATGTCCTTTCTGTTTGGGAAGGCCAACCTTCGTCGCGTTCCTCAAGGTTTCCTGGGTTCCTTCGGTCTTGTTTCCTTACTGTTTGGAAAGGCCAGCCGGCCTTCCTCGGGCTCCCTGGGTTCCCTGGTCTCCTCGCCCTACCGTTTTTAGAGCAATGCCGTGCAATGCGTGGAACTGCCAGGGAATGCCAAGCGATTCCCAGCGATGCCAAGCAATGCCAGGCAGTGCCAAGCAATGCTAAACGAAACAAACCAATACCAACGGATGCCAAACCATAGCACGTCATGCAAATTCATGTTAAGTCATGCCAAGCGATGCTAAGCAACGCCATGCAACGCCAAGCAGCGCCAAGCAATGCAATGCAAAGTCAAACATTGCAAACCAATGCCAAGTATTGCAAAGCAATGCCAGTCAATGCCAAGTAATGTCGTGCAATGCCAAGCATGGTTAAACTTCCAAACACAGCCGCGCAAATCCAAGCAACACCGAGCAACGCCAAGCAAAGCAGACCAGTCCAAAACAATGCCAAACGAGGCAACGCAATGCCAAACAATGCCAAGCAATGCCGCGTAGGAAATGTTCCCTCTAATTGTGGTTGTGTCGGGCTCATTTTCAATATAGGAACGTCGGTGCTTCAAATGGCGTTCCTGCTGCAACGCGGGCCTCATTCTAGGATCGGTGTTCGGGCCCGGTAGTTCAGAATGGCGTCTCCTCCTCCTCTTCCTCTCTTCATCACTCCTCCCTCCTCCTTGCCTCCATGGTCATCGTCGTCGTCGTCGTCGTCGTCCTGCTCCTCTTCTCGCCGTCCTCGTCCAACTTTTGTGAACACGACTTCTTCCTCATCGTTGTCTCTCCGTTCTTTTCCCCTCCTCCACCTTCCCCTAGTCCTCCTGCTCTTCCCGCTCTTCCCGCTCCTCCCACTCCTGCGCCTGCTCCTGATGTTCCTCCTCGTCATCCTCCTGCCTCATCCTCTTCCTCCGGCTCATCCGCCACCTCCTCCTCCTCCTCCTCCTCCTCCTCTAAAGTACACACCTCCCATTTTCTGATTGCGCATGGGAGGTTCCAGGTCCGCTATGATGCCCGTCGATGGACAGAGAAACAGTCAGCGCAATGGCAAGGGACGGGTGTGAGGGGTCTCGGCTGTCAGATATGGCGCAAACGCACCTGGCCTGTCGATGTGCCAACCCTCTCCCCCTCTCTCTCACTCTCCCTCTCTCTCCTTTCTCCTCGTCCTGCCCGTGGGAGGAGGTTACGAGCAAGGGCTCCCAACTTCGCGTTCCTCGCTGCGCGCTGCGCGAAGCGGCGCGAAGAACTTCGCGCTCTCGCGCCGCCTCCCAAGGGGAGCAAAGGAGGATGAGGAAGAATCGCAGCCGAACCGCGAAGCGCGAGCAACCTTGCGCTCTCGCGCCGCCTCCCAGGGGAGAGGAGGAGGACGAGGAATCGGAGCCGGGAAGCGGGAGGTGTGCAGGCACTGCGGGCTACGACCTCTCCCCCTTCGCACGACCTCCCCCCAGGGAGAGGCCGCCTGCGCCGCGCGTGAGAGGTCTCGAGAGGCGAAAAAATTGAAGGGGCCCTGGGACACACAAACAAATAGACACAGGTAGCAGAATACCCCATATTTCCCCATATGTTCTGGCTTTTTGTCTTCCCCCCCACTTCCCACAGTTTCCCATACTTTCTGGGGAATCGACGATCAATTGTATCTGTGTGTTTTTCCCTCCTGGAGAAGGTACCGGTGCTGCTACTCCCCAGACCTCTCCCAGGGTGCGTTCTGACCGGAACTTCGAGGAGAATCCAGCAGTGGTGACGAGGGCCTCCCAGGAGGCCCAAAATGGCGAACACGGGGCGAGGGTAGAGGCATCGGTACCTTTCTCCTCTGAAGATCAACTGCGTTTCCAACTGCCTCCTCCTCCGCGGCCGCTCTTGCTTTTCCCACCACGCCGGTGTACAATCTGCCAGCCCGCGGCCCGCTCTGGCCCAAGCGCGGTGTGACCCACATCCCTGCGATCAAAAGGCATGCGCTGCGGGCATTTTTGGGGGCTCCCCGCCAAGGCCTCTAACTCTCTAAGCAGCTGCGCCTCGGAGATCGACTGGTCCGCGCAGTGGGCGGTGAACTTCCACAACTCCTGAGCGGACGAGGGCCCTCAGATCTGGGCGTAGAATCCAATAGCTTCGGCCAGTTCTTGTTAGCCTTGGGCTTCTGGAAATAGTTTCCTGGCCCCCAGACCGTCAAACAACGACTCAGGATGAAAAGCCGTCCACAAGCTGGCGTTTAGGACATGGTCGAGATCCCCGAGGGCCTATGTCGACAACGAAACATGCAACATCGGAGGAGAGGTAAACCCCAGTCGGACACTGAAGAGGAGGAGACCTAGTATTCTAGGTTGGGAGACAACTCCTCAGAAATCCGTTCAGGAATGTTGGGCCCACTGACGCTGCCATCAAGCCCAATGCTAAGCCACATTGAACAATCTTCAGCAGGATTGGACAACACTGGACGCAATTATGCCAGACTTGGTAGGGTTTCGACAACGCAAGTGCCAGCGCCGACTCTCCGCTAGGTTTCGTTCCGAAGGGACACTAAAGGCGCCGACATATTCCTTGCTGACTTCGCTCACGCCAATCATGACGTAACGTTGAGGGCGCAACGGCAGGGGATACGAGTGGATGGATACGCGGCGCAGCGTGCTGCAGAAGCCAAGGGCACACAAAAGGAGTGGGCAAGCGGCAAGGTGCACGGATCCAGAAAGGGGTCCGACGCCGCCCCCAACATGGCTGGGACCAGAATGCCGCCTGGGACCGCAGTGCTAGGCGCCGTTATGACTCGCGCTAACCGGCTGTCCGTCTGCGAACACCCAGCCCTCAGCCCCAACAAACGCACGCGCACACGCACACATGCACATTCAAACACACACACACACACATACGCTCGCACACGCACACTCGGATACACACACACTCGGATACACGCGCACACGCGCATTTTTTCGTCGGCGGATGGGTGAGTGTCCCCGCAGCGACTACAGGGGCGGGCCACGCCTAGTTCAATTATCGCCTGGCCTTGCAGATGGGGGGTCAGGATGTGGCTGACGCATGAAGTGAAAAGCCGCCAAAGCGGATGCACGTGGAAAAGGCCAAACACCATACGAATCTCTGTGGGCGGTGCCACCGGGGCAGATGCAGACGAGAAAACCCACCAGCCCTCTGGGCGTAGGTGATCTAGGGAGCTTTCTCTCCCAACCCCGTCTCTTTCCCTTCGGGGAGGGGTTGATCCCTCCCCCTTCCCCCCTCCCCCTGGACTTGGACGGGGGTGGTCGCGGGTAGTTGAAGCGTTCAAGATGGCCCAAGATGGCTCCAAGAGGGCCTTAGAGAGTGCAATATTGCCTCCGAGATGGCTCCAGATAGCGCAAGATCGCTCAAGATGGCTTCCAATATGCTCCAAGAGGCCCCAAGACAGCCTCAAAACGGCTCCGAGTGGCAAAAGAGCTCCCCAAGGAGGCCCCCAAGAGGCCAACATCCTTCAAGAACGAACGGCACATCACTGTTTTTGGCTTTCTCGCCGTTTCGCTTCCGATGGCCGCCCGAGGCCTCAAGATGGCTCCGAGATGGCCCAAGAGGGCCCCCAGCGAGCCCAAGAGAGCCCGAAGACGGCCCCAAGAGCGCTCCACAAGCGCCCCAGGAGGCGATTCTAGGCACTCTAGAAAGGGCAAAGTAAAATCCCACCAGCCCTGTGGGCGTTGCTGGTCCAGAGCGTTTCCTCTTCCACCACCCTTCTTCCCTTTTGGGGAGGGGTTTATCAGTGTTCCCTATTAATTCGCCGGCCCAACGGGCCAGGGCGTGCTAAGATCTCCGGTACCTGGTTAACAGTATTTCTAGTTCGCGCGCGCGGGGCGGCCCCTGGGGGTCCCCGGACGAAAAGTACCCCGGCAAGGTCCCGGCAAGTCCCCGGCAAGGTCCCGGCAAGGTCGGGTCAGAGATGCCGGAGTTCTGTTTCGGAGTCCAAGAGGGCTCCAGATCGGTCCAAGAGGGCCCCGAGAAGCTTTCTAGACGGTCCAAGAGAGGCCCGAGACGGCCAAAGATCGCCCGAAGACGCCCCAGATGGCCCCAAGACAGCCCAAGAGGCCTCCAAGACGCTCCAAGGGCCTTCCAAGAGGCCTCCGAAGAGGGCCCCAAGTTGCCAAAATCGTTGATTTTCATTGGTTTTTTCTATGTTTTTTTGCGTTCTGGCCTTTTCGCTTCCGGACGCTCCAAGAGGGCCCAAGAGGCCTTCAAGACTGCTCCAAGACGGCCCACGAGGCTCCCAAGACGGCCCCGGAGCGGCCCAAGAGCGCCCCCCAGACGGCCCAAGTGCTGCCCAAGGCGGACCAAGAGGCCCCAAGACGGGCCCAAGAGGGGCTCAAGAAGGGAACCGAGAACTGAAAAATCGAGCCCTCCGCCCCAGAAGGCGCCCAGGACCCCGAAAGAGGCCCCAAGAGACTCTCCAAGACACCCCCAAGACGCCCCAATAAGCTCCCGTGAGGCCCCAAGAGGACCAACAACGTCAGGCCCCAGGCCCCAAGAGGACCAACAAATACCGCCAAGAGCCCGCCGAAAGCCCCCCAAGAGACCGTCACGAGAGCTCAGGAGGCCCCCTGGAGGCCTCCCGAGTTCTCCAAGAGGCCTAAAAAGAGGCGCCAAGAGGCCCCAAACGGCCCCACCGAGGCTCCAAGAGGCCACGAACGCGCAAGCAAACGCCTGCGATGGCACAATACGGGCCGGCGGAATGAGCGAAGCGATTAAATAAACACTCCCTCCCCCACCCGGCCGGCGGGCAACGCGGAACAATGCCACCCACCCCCCCGCCATCCCTTTCAAAAACACTACAAAACACACTCTGCCTCCACATTCAGAGCATGCGCGGCCGCCCCGCGACCACTTTGTATTGAAATCTTACAAGACGGCTGGGGTGCTGGCAGATTCCACCCGCCTTCTGGCCGCGGGTGGTCGTCCAGGATGGTCCCAAAAGGCTCTCCCGGGCATCCGGGAGGCCCTCAAGAATGCCCTAAAACCGAAGACCCACCAAAAGAGGCCCAAGAGGACCCGAATACCTCCCAACACCACCGCAACATGTCCCGAAGAGGACCCCCCCGAGGGAACACCAGCAGCACCGGCACCAGCAACAACAGCAGTAGCACCATCAGCCCTGGCAACAGCAGCTGGACTACGATTGTCCCGTCGGGACCTTTGCATTGGTATTTGACAGAGCCTCTTCGGGGGTTCAAACCTTTGGTCCTTTGGCCCGGTGTTACTTCTGTGTTGGGGGGGGCGGGTGGGAGTGAGCTACGCGGCTTGCTCCTTGTAGGAGTCTTGAACACTGTTCCCTATTAATAAACACCCCCTCCCCCAGGCGACTGGTAGCCAACCAGGAACCATGAGGGCACCCCTCCCACCATCACTGGTAAAAAAGCAATACCAAACACACTCTGCCTCCAAATTCGGAGCATGCGCAGCCAACTCGATGCGGCCTCACACGACCATCCCTCTCAAAAAACAATACATAGTACACTTGGCGGCGGCGGCGGCTGCAGCGGCTGCGGCGGCGGCGGCGGCTGCGGCGGCTGCGGCGGCGGCGGCGGCGGGCGGCGCGGCAGCGACGGTGGCGACGGCGGCGGCGGCGGCGCGGAGGCGGCGGCGGCGGGCAGCGGCGGCGGCGGCGGCGGCGGATTGGCCCCCAGTAGCTGCCCATCCAAAGACGACTGCTGAATATGCTGAGGCTCGGGCCAGACCTTGGTGCTACGTATGTGTTGGGAGGGCGGGTGGGAGTGAACGATACGGCTTGCGGGCGGGGAGGGAGTCTTGACCCCTCCCCCTACCTCCTCCCCTGGACCTGGACGGGGCACCCCGCGAGCGGTCAGGGCGTCCAAGATGGCCCAAAATGGCCCCAAGAGGGCGTCAGGAGAGCCCAAGATGAGCTCCAAGATGGCTCAATATAGCGCAAGATGCTTCGAGATGGCCCCCAAGATGCTCCAAGACGCCCCAAGACTGCTCCAAGACCACTCTAAAATGCCAAAAGAGCTCCCCAAGGATGCCCCCAAGAGGCCCAAATTCTTCAAACACCCAAGGAAAAGCAATGTTGTTGGTTTTCTCGCCATTTCGCTTCCGATGGCCATCCGAGGCCTTAAGATTGCTCCAAGACGGGCGAAGAGAGCCTCAAGAGGGGCCCAAGGGAGCCCCAAGACGGCCCCAAGAGCGCCCCAAGAACGCTCAAAAAGGCGACTTTGGGGGGCTCAGGAGGGGCAAGGCTAATGAAGGGACCCCCCTTCTTTGATCGATGTCCTCCAAGAAGCGCCTACGAGGCCCCAAGATGGCCCCAAGATGGCCCCAAAAGGACCCCGAGAGGCCCTCAGGAGGACCCCAGGAGGACCCCAGGAGGCCCCCAAGCGGCCCCAAGCGGCCCCCCGGAGGCACCCAAGACGCCCAAGAACCCCTCAGGACCGTTAAGAGACCCTCAAGACGTCCCAAGAGGCCACTAAGAAACGCCTAAGAGACATCCCGAGAAACTCCTAGTGGCATCCAAGAGACCTCTGGCCATTTTGCTTGTCCTTTTCATCCTGCTCCTCCTTCCTCCTCCTCCTCCTCCTCCTCCTCCTCTTCCTCCTCCTCCTTCTCATCCTCCTCCTCCTCATACTCTTCCTCCTCTTCATCCTACCCCCCACTCCCTTATCCATCCATCCGGCATCTTCCTTCTCCTCCCCCCTCCTTCGCACGGTTCGGCAGTCCCCCTCTTTGCTCCCGTACTTCCCTGATCACCTCAGCTCGCCTGGACATCGTTTCTAAATGGGCTGGTGGGCATTGTTTTGATCGCGACCGCGGCGAAGACAAGTCGGGCGGCGTCCAGGGAATTGCCGACTACCTGGTGGGATTTTTTGTCGCAGCCGCAGGCGAAGGCGCCGGCGGCGTCACAGGTCGGCTCGGGCTGCGAGCAGAACTACTTGCCTAGCGCGCGCAGGCAGCAGCAGAACCTACCGCCGGGGGGAGCTGGGCTGCGCCGAGGGCAGAGGCTGCTACCGCTGGGGGAAGCGGGGCTGCGCCGGAAGCGGAGGCTGCAAGGGCTGCCGGGGCCGCCAGGAGTCTGTGCAGGCGCGCG